TTTTGCCTGCGCTGTTTGAGGTAAACAAACTATTTGAGTAACTCTAAATAATAAGATTTATAATTTGCGTGTGGGTTAGGATTTGATATAAATGCCGAGTAATGATCTTGCGAAATTTGCGCTCTTTGCGGCCACCTCTAAGAGTGTTAATCTTTGCCAAATAACTGCATTTGTTAATCGTTACGAGGAGTCGTAAATTTCCTGACATCAAGCGTACACAAAGACATTACTTTGACGTATATCCCTGAAGTTATTACTACGTTCACTTGCTAAAAAAGAAGTATGATGTCTAATAACCTTTGTGGAACTAAAATCATAAGCTTCTCTCACGTATTCTAGTTGATAAATTTCGGTACGTACGTATCTTTGTTGGGATATCATGTTTCTGCTGATATTATTGTGATGATAAATATGATTTCTCTTTATCTTTATTATTAACTCGTATCAGTCCTCTGTTCATTTTATAGGAAAATCCAGGATTGAGAACTGTGCATGGGCTGCTTGGGAGTAGTATCATGACCCTTTTCCTGATACATGCTGCACTGGGGCTCCAGCTGGGTCTCAGCTTTTAATCCCCTACTCAAATGTATTCAGAGAGTGAAATGCGCCATCAGTTTTGATATTTATCCTAATTATTAATATATAGATACACTGTATTGTTTTCGCTGTGGAAAAATTGTTGAGTATAGTTGCACGAAGAGTGTTGTTGGCTTGAACTAATATGCTGGTGGCTTCTAATTTTCTATCAAGCAATATATGTTCTCCTTTACATGAATAGGCTACATGCAAAGGTATTCCTTGGAAATTTTGATGTAGCACATAACAACACTTAACCGTCAACTATACTCCTGGCTATCATCTTCAACATTGTGAAGCGAACTTACCAAGTTATCGGCATCTCGTTTGTCTTATGTAACATCAACAAGCACGAGAAAGTAGAAGCCTAAAAATCTAAGTAACATTAATGCGCAAAATATCATCAAGTACAGAAGTTACATTATGGTATTCGGTAAATCGGCAAATCTTGTAGCTTTGCTAGAATAGCCAATATTCGGTACATAAGAGGAACCCTAATTTAGATGGGCTACAGTTAATCAACAAAATTAAGGATACAACCCCGTGTTTATACTAATTTTACATGAGATGCAATTGCACCATCCCTCTGTTAATTAAAATTGCCAACCATTTCCTAATCTATACTCAAGTCAACAAAGGCCACTTTTTCTTTCAAAATGGTACACCATGATGCAAAATGGGATGGCATTAATAGAGCTACAGACCATTTCTGAGATGATTTTCTTCATCTCATTCGGCGGGGGAAAAAATTAAACTCTAATTATATACAGCAGCCTTGGCAAAAGAATGACAGCAACAGAGCCAAGCTCTAAACTTACCGCCAAGCTTCCACCATCAAATAATTGTACAAAAAAGGGGGGTCAGCTATCATCGTCCAATGCTCCAACATATGTAAGATCTCTTCTCCTCACTCTCACAGCGCCTTTAAGCCAGCTGCAGGCCTTGAGATTGGCATGATCCCCATTAACTTTACTCACATTGCCGCTGTTACTTGAGGAAGAAGCAGATACTGTGCCATCTTCAAGCAAAGTCCATGGGTCAATTTCCATGTCAGAGTCCAGAGAAGCCAATGCTTTGCTCTTGGTAGATAAGTTAGTTGAAGGGCGAGGCAATGAGACTAGTTTAGATAAGTGCGGAGTCTGGGTGCTGGGTTGAATTGATGCAAGGACTGTTGAAGAGAGTGCTGGAAGTTGGCAAGAGAAAGAGATGGGAGGAGATGGAGGTAGAATTGGCATCGCGGCCTGAAGACGCCTCCTGATTGTAGCAGGAATTTCCATCCGATCCAAGTCGGTCTGCAGAAAGGATCAAGAACATTGTCCAACATAAATAAAATGATTAAACTGAAATATAGGGGTTAATTGTGGATAGACACAATGTACTATCGCCAAGGTGAACTTACTAGCCCTGTTGGTCTATTGCTGCAGATAGACACCCTTTAAGAGTTCTATTGTTGCAGATAGACCACCTGAGCGAAAATCTGCTGTCGCAGATAGACCCCTTGAAAAGGGTAAAAAAAAAAATTCACTCAGGGGGTCTTATCTGCAACTATAGTACTACAGGGGTAGCATATTCAATTTAGCAATAGTACAGAAGTCCATCTGCAATAAACCAATATAAACATAATACAAAGGTAAAGCATAACTGGATTCACCACATTTCAAAAGATTAATTTGAGGTGCTATATTATCCAGGTCTTATCCGCTGTCAATTTGAAGCTTAACGCCACACTAGTAAATGCATGTACGTAAGTAATGTAAGGCACTTTGGTTTCAAGTTTAGGTTATTGTACCAGCGGGCTTGCAGAATACCAAAACCTACTCAGTTTGGCCGTTAAGCAAGTATACCGATAAATGTATAAAAGACCGAACAGGGACTCTTTATCCCAATTTGGTACACTAGAAAATGGATTTAAACAGAGATCCAAGCCTTTGAAGTGTGTCAACGTAAGAAATCAATTTCATGAAGTGGGTAACGGGCTTTTTTGAGCTCAAGCAGGGTTTTCGCAGGCATTTTGAGACCTTTCACAACAATGGAAGCAAGGTGTGCATACTACTTGGCATCTTAACAAACAATTACCAAATACCAATAATGTTAATTTCCCGTATGGATATCTTTAAGCAAGTAGTAGGTCGATATAAATGAGAAAGAAAAATAATATAGTGCACCTAGAACCGACCTTTAAGCAAGTAGTATGTCGATATTAATGAGAAAGAAAAATAATATAGTCCACCTAGAACTGACCTGCAAGCTTTCGGCTACCTCACGATCAAACACAGAAAACTCTCTAGGAGATTTGACGGTTGACTTGGAGGAAGACTTAGGCTTTAACCAACTTGGTTTGGAACAGCTAAGCAAACCATGCAGAACAGACAAAAGCAAGTCAAAGAGGCTGTCACCAGAACGATCCCATGACGTAAAAGTAGAGGCTTTAGAATTAGATTGTGATTCCCTCTTCTGAGCAACAGTGGCCAATGCAGTAAGAGATATATCTGCATCCTCATAGATAAACCGGCTTCCAAGAAACCGAAGTACAATAGAGGCGAATGTGTATCTCATGTTTCTTGGAGATGGTTCCCTGTAAGAAGAACAAAGAAAAATATTCAGGAAAGTGGTGGAAATGCAGCATGCGAGTAGGTGATGTCAATGATGAACAGAAAGAATATTCAAGTGGCAGAGAATAAGAAGGGTATTCAAAAGAGAGTAAATTAAATTGACAATTCATGAGCTAAGTCAAACATTAGAATTTAATTCAATCGTAAAACATTCACAACTCACAAGATGGCATCCAGGTCATGCTGCTAAAATCTGAAAATGTCGGAAATATAATAATTGTATCCACACCACTTCTCCATAGAAATACATGGCTCCACAGAACCCATATCCTCATAAAGAGCAAAAAAGGTGCATTTCTTGAACTTTTCCAACTAAACTTTGTCAGTCAACTTGTTTCTACCTAACCCAAAAAACTTGAACCAGTTCTGCCACTTCCTCTTCGCTTGACTATATAGTAACACAAATTACTGAAAGTAAAATGGTTCAGATAATTTAAAAGAATAATAATTTGATCCCCGATATGATGTGAGATAAGCATAGGGAAAAGGGCTTCATAGTCAAGCGTGCATTGTTGAGATAAGTACTAAGATGGTGAACTCATGGTATGTTTTTACATGGTTGGTGAGAGTAGTATTAGGTTAGATGAATTCATTGGAAAGTCCTTGCAGGTCTGTACACCCCATAACATGCCTCCTTCTATAAGTTCAAAATTTAGATGAATTCATTGGAAAGTCCTTGCAGGTCTGTACACCCCATAACATGCCTCCTTCTATAAGTTCAAAATTTAGATGAATTCATTGGAAAGTCCTTGCAGGTCTGTACACCCCATAACATGCCTCCTTCTATAAGTTCAAAATTTAAGTATCCAACATCGTTGTTACATGAAACCTATCTGCCTAAACAAAATCTGTGAAGTGCCAATATCACTGAAGATGCTGGAGGAAAATAACTGGAAAAATATTACTGAAGACTCTTGATGTACGTTGATAGTGACCGTCAATCTGGTGCAGTTAAGATCTACTAGCATCTTAACTTTTTTTGAAGGATTTGATTTTATTCTAGGTAATCCTTTAGTTAAGATTTCGTTAGAATTTGATTTTAGTATTACCTTCTTGTTTAGTCAAGATTTTTATTGGATTGCAGCTTTTAAATTTGTTAGATTTTGATCTGATAAGGACTATGATTTGTATCAAATGTTGTTTGTTACCTTTTATCTTCTATAAATAAAACTATCCTCCATTGTGAATGAAAAATTCTGGAATTTGAAATCCTCTTGAGCATGTGAAATTGTGAATTGCATGGGTCCAGCATGCTAAGCTTAGTAAGCGGAGTATGTGACTTACCTGAGGTGTGAACCCCAAAAAGTTTTTTGTGTTTTTATTATCTTTGTGCTTTCTTTCTGCCCAAATAAATCTCCACCTTCAATTAGTTTCCAATTTCAAAAAGGAAAAACGACTCTAAATTCCCTGCAGTCCAGCTCTCTGAAAATCCTCTTGAGCTTTCTGAACAACATCTAACATTCAAGCTCTTTACTGTTCAAATCTGAAGCGGTCATCCATTCCCCACGTCCACAGTTATCATGGGTAAAATAATGTTACCACCTCACAACAATGTAAATTCAATCCGCCGAAATTTGGTAACTTAAACTTATTTTTGGGTTTGGGGATTTTATGGATATAAGGAACTCCAATTTGAAGTTTCAACCTATAGCATAGAAGATATATTTCTATCCATGAGATGTTAGAAGTATAAATGTACCTATATGCTAAGTGTAGGCTAGAGAAGAACTTCTAGTAATGATGGTCTAGATTATTCAGCTATCCATTCATAAGATCCTATGAAACTTCTTCTAGAAAAAGGAAATACTCTTGTCTACCAACTAGAAGATATTATTATTTCTCTTCAAAGCTTGAACCAAAGTCAACAGGAAAGAAACTATTCTATATGCATTATCAAGTTAAACAACTACAAAAGTCACATAGGAAAGAAACTTCAATAGAAAAATGAACTTACCTATCAGCATAAATAATAGGAAGGAGTCTCACAAGAAACTGCAACCGCAACCACAAGGATGCTTTTAGTTTTGCCGAAGATGGTGGGGAGGAATCAATCACTCCTGTTGGTCGTCTACCCATTCCAGGACTCCCACCACGCATACTCTTGCGGCTGCTGCCTTTGTTTGAAGAAACTTCAACGCCAGATGAGATACCACTAGCCTGCTTACTGCCTCCACGTGCAAGCATAGTTAATTGTTGGTCAATGGTACTCATCTGCTTTATCAACTCAGCAGCAAATGAATTGCGCAAGTCACTGGAGCTCCTATCTATACATGGAAGTATTAGTTCTACCAGTGCTTTCTCAGTGCCATACTGCTGGCTAAAGCCAAAGGCTTCAGCCTCAGGTGATGATGAGCTAATTTTGGTCTGTAACTTGATATTTATAGGTTCATCAACAACTTCCCCTTCTTCAATTGAAAAGGATTCCACTTTATTTCTATCAACCTTGTTCGCTACAACATTTTCTGCAGAACATGACCAACCCCATGGCTTCCAGAACTGGGCTTTAGCTGAAAGACCTTTGCGCTGAGCAACAGATACAAGCTGCTGCCTGACCGATTTGCGTCCAGATAGGACATCACTTCCAGCCAAAAGCCATTTTATGTCCATAACCAGTGACTCCTCTAGTGATCTTCCAAGTACACGGGCAATTTCTGCATAGAGAGGTGCTGCATCAGGTCTCACAAGTATTCTCGTTAGAACGATTTCAGACAAAAACTTTTCACTTTCAGAAATTGCAAAATTTTCAGAATTAGGGGATAATGATCGAACAGCATCCACAAAGGACATGTCCTTGGTTTCAATTTTTTCAATAAGGGCTTGCTCATTCAACAAAAACCTTAGCTCAACCCATTGCCAGTGAAACTTTGCAGGCTGCAGTGTGTCAAACACATGAACAACCTTATCCAGAAGCTTTGTCTCATTCTCTCTTTTTTCAACAGGCCTAGATAACCACGATCCATCTTCCTGTAATTGTGTAATGGCAGGCATTTCACAATCAATAATAGCATTCAGAAACATCCTGGCACGAAGTGGAACAAATGCCATTGTTTTCAAGTGTTTATCCGGATTATGCATTTCAAGCATTGCAGCAAACTCAGAATCACTAACATCACTAGCTAGAAAATCATAGAGCACTTGAGTGTTCCTTAAACATGAATCTCGAAACGGGTGGTGTCTGATAACATCACCCATGGCCAAGGACAAAGAGCGATACAGTTGGACTTCTTCACGAGTTGCAGTATTTCTGTTGAGAATATATGGCCTCCAAATGACCATGGCGAAGATTGAATAAGCAGAAGGTAAAACCACGCTGAGAGGAAGCATCTGCTGCATCCTTGAAAGAGCTAAGACGTAAGATTCCCCCAGAATATCTGCAACGAGTCCATCAAAAATAGTTCGGCAATTGCCCACAAGCAATCTAAACCAATGTACATACACTTCAACAGAATGCTCGAGTTTAAAACTGCCCCGCTGTGTCCCATTTGAACTGGTCCTTTTATTTCTAATGAACTGTAGCACATCCAGTCCCTCCTTTAATTTGAAAACTGTTATCATCCTCTCAAGGTCAGTAACTCCATGAACGATAGCCCCAACAACAAGAGCAGATACTGCAGCAGCTTTTGCAACCCTTCCAGCATATATCTTTGCAGAATTATTGAAATTTTCATTTGAATGACTTGAATTTACATCATGAGTTTCAGGAGATGATTGAAATTGAGTATGATGAGTCTTTCCCGGAACAAAAGCTCCAGAAACTGCAGAATAAGCTTCACATGCCAAAGCCAGGTCAAATATGCGGCTAAGACGATCTCCAAGAGCATCTTTAAGCATGGACAGAGAAGTTATATAGATGCATATTATGTGCCCAACACAAGTACGTGAACTCGTTGAAGATGACAAACCTTGGTAGTTATTGTTTGGATTTACATCTAACAGTTTGGCTACAGGTGGTCCCACGCTACTTATGATTGCAGAAACAGCAGAGGCCACAATAGAGGGATCCCCTTCCAGAGTTGCACCACCATTTTGCCGAATGCATTCTACTAGGCCCTGAACAATTCCTTGAGCTACCTGATAGGCATCATCCAACTTCTCAGGCAGGCTTTTAGGAGTTCCCCCTTCGAACGGCTTTCTTTCTTTTGCATAAAAATAGCGAACAACTTCCTCTATATGTCTTTGAACAACGCCTTTCATGACTGGACCAGTTCGTGATGTCCTTCCATTCATCTTATGACGAAAATAATCATCAAAATCGTTCATACCTGCAGATACACCAGAGGAAAATCCTAAATCTCCATCTGCTGTGCGAACCGCATCAAGTTCTGCAAGGAGTCTGTGATCACATGTAGGTCGAAACTTCTTTTCCCATTTTACTACAGTGGCAACATCTCTGTACTTCTTAAGCAAAATTCGAGCATAATAAAAAGATGCTGAATTAATTGTTCTTCCGTTGGTTGCCATCATACAAACAGCGCAATGCATTGAAGCAGCTAGAACTTCTGGCAAAAGGTCTGCTGCTACAATTATGTTCTCATACCTAAAGTAAGGCATATAACTTCAGTATTAATGAGAGAGAAATTCAAACAGTATATAACAGCTGATATCTTTGTTTCTGGTGTCAATTATATGACTAATTACCCATTAAAATGATGAACTTCAATATAAATCGATATGATAACATACTGTTGAAGAAATGATATTTATGGGAAATGCAGAAAATTTTAAGATGTGAAGACCTGAAAGTACAAGATATCTTTTATAGAAAATCCCACACATACAAAGCAAGAACATGAAGATAACAAGATACACATTAGATGAGGGTGTGACCACTCGCAAAAGATTTTGCGCCTGATTATGGGCAAATACTAGAAAACTTCTGGATCACCAACTTCATGGTATGAAATGAGCCCCAATCTATATCGAAGTTACAACTCAAGGAAAGAGACAAAATAACATACAGTTAAACCACAAGAGCAATATATAACTTATAATATCTAATTTTGGCTTCAAACCTACAGGAATCTATCCCAGTTTATCACAAACCATTGTTTTGTATGTGAAAAAAATAGCACCAAGAAAGCAGTAAGTTGAGCCAAGGTTCTATGTATGTGTATGCTATGGAAAATATAGGGAAACAACAATTTAAGTTTGAATCCAGATGGCAAAGCTGTATGCAGAACCCAGTTCAGTCAACTACTAGGTGGCACCTATATCTATTCCTCAGGTTAATGCATAGAGGTTCAGGTCCATGTGAAAAATATGCAAGTTCACTTTATGTGTTACAATAAATGGCTCTATTCGCAGCCCTTGGGAAATGACAGTTTACCATCATGCTTGCCAGTGTACTAGTAAGTCATCAGTTATTCCAATATACCACCCATTTCAGTTTTGCATGCCACATATTCCATATAGAGGAAGGAAAGTAGGGGGGTAGGGGGGGTTGGGTTCAGAAGCAGCATCTTTGGTAGGACGAAGGATATTTAGCTGCATATTATTTTCCTTTTTTGGGGGTTAGTTCAGATTGCAACAATGAGAAAGATTGTAGGGGGAGATTTGGTCTAGATGGGAAAAGCTCAGAAGGAGAAATGGGTTGGACTTACTTTTGGGGCAAAGGAGTGAATGAAGCAGCCTTGACTTTTGAAATTGGGCTTTGTTTGATGAATACCACGTGGATTAAGAGAGGTTTCGGGGAGAAAATGGAGGATAACTATGTGGGGATTAATAGAGCTTTTTCAAGGGAGGCAGGAGGGATTGTTTAGTCCTGTGTTCGAACATTAAGTAGTTATATCCTATTTGCTCTACTATAAATAAAAACAAGAATAACCCACGTGATCTTTAAAAATATGTTAACATATGAAGCTACAACGTACCTTTGAAGAGCCGATAGTAGAAATGCCTCCCCAACTTGAAGGCCATGGGCTTCCCTATTTTTGGGTAAGGTCACAGTATTTCTCCCAAGTTGGACTGTACTGCCTGGTGCACTGACAATCTTTGGCAACAACCATAAAATAAATCTTACAGCTGAAATCAAATCACAAGAAATATCCAATATGTACAAGATGGCAGACAGTTCATCTTCACCTAGTTTCCACTGTCCAGCATTCCTATCATCAAATGGTACAGAAAAAGCACTAGTACAATCATTCTGCCTGGAAGCAGACTTGTCATTTCCTTCAACCATTTGTTTAATTAATGTTAGTAACCAAATTGAAATAGACCGTTTCTCTAGTAGCCTAAGACATTTTATACGTCTCCCAATATCACCAAGAGACAAAGCTTCCTTCTTGATATGATTGGGCAAGTTGCTCTCAACACGAGATCTATGGTCAGGACAGTGTACTTCGTGACATATATGACTAGTAGATGCCTCTTGGCTACTCTCAGTCCTAGCAGAAGCCAACTGCGCAAGACTTTGAGTTTTGCGCATCATCTTTTGTCTACCTCTAGACCCATTTTTGCTCAGCTTAAGAGCTGGATCACTCTTAAATGAATCTTGCAATTTTAATCCCTTTCTCACCCACCAAGTGTCCTCATCATCTGACAGGTACAAAGAAAACAATTGATAGGAAGAACTTCCATCGCCTAGCTTTTGCCTTTTTGCTCTCCTACATTCCTCACAACCTGCAGTGGCTTCAGACTTACAGACTTTGACACCAAATGAGCCCAAAGGTCTCTCTATACTCCCTAGACATCCCTCAGCTTTGGATTCAACTGGAAGAGAACAAGTATTAGGTAATTGAAGGAAAGTTGAAATTGAGCCTTTTATTTCTGCAACTTGCTTCTTCACTTTGGATTGCTTAGAAACTGGAGAAATTGATTTTCTATGTGCCTTGAGCAAAGCCAATGACATGCCATCTTTGACAGCAGCTGAATGGTCCCTTTGCTTTCGTAATGAAAAACTCAGGCCACCATTTGGAGGAATGGCACAGTCAGTAAGAAGCCCATGAAGGGCAAGTCGACGTTCATTGGAATAGATATGAGCAGCCTCATACAGCAATCCAGCTTCCGCAATCTGGGCCTCTTCTAAAACATCAGACAAACAGATCCCAGGAAGCTGCTTTAAAATTCTATGATGTCTTGCTCGTCTTTCCATATCAAACGATGTCTCCTTTCCATCCATAATCCCACTAACTATTAGTTGCCTTACATAAGCCTGAGGATAAAAGATGCCATTACGTATTAATTCCACAAGAAGAACTTGAAGGCACTTGTAACTTCCGAAACCTCTTCCAGTCTCATGCTGATCCAGCCAACACACAATAATATCATGCAGTGGACCAGGACTCTGAAAAATATCTGTTTTACTCTTTCTGTCATCTGAACTGTTCATGCTATTTCCAGCAGAAGCATTAGCTAAAGCAGCTTGACCAAACACATTATCATGCAGATGAACAGATGATTCACTGATAATACAGGAACTCTTGGCCTCTAAAGGATTATGCATATCTTCTTTTTTAAGCTTTAAAAGTAGAACAGCAATATATGCCTGTGCAACATCCTTTCCACCAGTAAATTTCAGATTCTGAGGCAGGGATGTTCGGCAGTCTCTATAATCACATGTTGCCCACTCACACAAGAAAAATACAGAACAAATAAGAGACAAGTTAACAGTCCCAATCCACTCCAAAGAAGATCGCAAGCATGGACTAACTTCTGTAATCCATCGTCCTCCAATAGTCACATCAGACAAATCTTCAAATAGAGTGCTATAAGCAGATCTCACATCTCCAACCAACAGAATTTTATCCAAGACCTTCAAAACTTTTGCTGCACCATGACCGTCAAGGCTAGGATTGACAATGTTTGCAACATTAGAAGCGCGTTTCTGAATGGTGGAAATCACATGTCCAAGGGACAAGTATCGAAGATCAGTATTTTCTGTCCTCATGTGATCATCGTCTTCATGCTCTGATGACCTTCTTATAGCATTTTTATAACCCATATCAAGCAATTTATAGGCTGGCAGCTGAAAGCAATCCAAGGCCACAAATGTATCAGGCACAGCAACTATCAAATAATGTAGCATCTCAATCAAGGCTGAAGCAAGGGGTGGAATTTTCGAATCATCTAATAAACTCAAACCAGTTGGACAGAGGTCATCTATGGATCGAACAGCTATATCCACAAAAGTCTGTACATAGGTCTGTGAGAGTGAAATACTCTCAATAACATCACACAGAACAGGCAAAAGCAACTCCAAAGCCTCAGCTGATTCCTTTTCCTGTAAGGCATAGTTTGGAGAAACCATTTAAAGATGAAAAACATTAAACAAACAAACAAACAAAATATTTAAAAAGACTTCTTTCTAAGGCAAAGGAAAGCAAATCAACTACCTGGAGCTGACCGAGGACCCACTCTATGATAACAGAAGGAAGAAGAAGACCTTCTGAATAATGCCAGTTCAAAAGATGAACCATATACCACCATTTAAATTGCAAGGAGGGCTCCTCGACATCATGTATAGAAGAGGCTGAGTCAGATCTTTGCTGTCCCAAACCCTGCAAAGGAGTTTGCATGGCATGATCCCTCCCTGATGCAGCTGGTGAGGAACCATCTTTTGAGAAGAAATCATCCCAAAGCTGGCACAAGTACTCAATCACATCCTTTGTCCACAAATCAGTGCGAACAAATTGTGCTTTATCAGGTTTTCCAGATGTGATGTTGTTGGTGGCAGGCCGAACCTGTAATAAAGATAAATGCCTTAAAACTGCGATAAGCTCACAAGCAAATAAAAAGTAAATCTTAATCAGAAAAGGAAAAAAAATCATATCTCGCCTGATAGCTTACCTGATTGAGATAAGTAACTTTGATAAACCATGTTGCTTTTAGTAATGGAACATTATAGCGAATGAGTACTTCAAAGAGAGATTTCTTTCGGTAGCCATGAGGAACATGGTCAGCCAAGGAACATAACCTCTTATGCTGCTGTGACAGAGCCTAGCAAAGCATTGAATGATAAGACTTTATAAAAGCAAGTAAGAATGAAATCCTCGTCCTTCTGACAGGAGCTTTAATATTGATGTAAGATGCACTTTTGCATATGCATGATAGGCATGTACATTGTGCTTTACATGTAGCCATGTATCGCACTAACAGTTAAAAGGCCAATAAAACAAGCTTCATAAACATTAAGCATAACTATTAAACAAGCTATTCATAGAACACTAATGTGGAAGATACTGCATGGTGTCGGTGTATAACAATTATTTCTCCATTGGCTCCTATTACATATAGGACATTTCTTCATAGAAAAAATTTAAGTCACAAATCCTGCCTGACAGGATACACGTTTATTAGCATCCATGCTTGTATGCACACTTTACTTGCATGACTTATTTCCAAAGGAGGCAGAAAGTTAATGCATGGTATCAAACCTTTTTTAATTTTGATGCTGTATTATTAAAGGGTTTAGCTTATATCACTCTTTAGGATGACTTCATATACACACTCAAATTGGAATGTGGACATATTATATAACAAGAACAGACTGAGACATGCTGGCCTGTGCTGACACAGAGAAGCTCTTGAACAATGAAAATGCTAACTCGAAAAACACAAAATAGCAATGAGCATCAGAAAACATGAAATAGCAATGAACAGCAATAAGTGTAGCATCTAATACTCAAAGGCTTCACAGTAGAAATGTCCAATTGGATATATTTACGAAAAGAAGATTTTGTATAGACTATAGTCCACTTTTTGTGTGTATTACTTGGATAACTGCAGTGCCTGCCGTCATGTTATGTGCTTACATGTGCACATGTCTATAAATCCTGGACTGTTTTCCGGCTATGCAAGTAACAACAAGCGATTATGCGGGTCATATGGGGAAAAATAGTTTACATCTTTCACATTGAACAAACTCAAATTCAAGATAACCAGGAACCAGCAGATTTTGACAGCAAGAATTACAGGTGGTAGATGAAGATACCATAAAGGTTAAATATTCAAACACCTCATGCACTTTTTTTTAAACAAAAATTACGTAATGAAAATTCTCCATCACAAACCTCAATCCATTTCCGACGGAAATCTTCACCACATGGCTTTTGATCAGGATAAGCACCAGGTTTTATTAATAGTGGTCCTGAAAGAGGCACTCCATAAACCTGTCCAGCCTGTTACATGTTAAAAATTGGTTCATATGGCTACTTTCATACTTGCTAAACTTACAAAGTGCAGGACTTTCATACAGAATCAAGCAAATTATGCACTTAAACAACAAAAAATTGTATCAAATTACCTTTCTCTTCTGACAACGAGATTCATTGATAAGCCTGAGGCGTTTCCGTATTGCCTGAGGAAGAAAAGGAACAGCATTATAATGTTAACACTAGACGGTCTTGGAAAACCAGTCAATAAAGTGTTTCTAGTTGTAGTTTCATTTTATTAGCTTCACTCAAACAAGTAATTCTCAGTTCTATACTAAGGAAAATGTTTGAAAACACTTATGAAGAGAAATAGAATGAGATAATACAGTAAGAGTGAGTATAAATTTATCGAGAACAATAACGAGAAGTAAAAGGAAACAAAATAAAATAAAGTCAGATAATGTTTGCATCTCGAAGTAGACATCACCCATAACCTTCGCTGAGACTCTTATGAAACTAAAGCTAATTTTTAGATTTTATAAAAGTGAGTTATCATTAAGAAATAATTCACACCTATTAAAGTGAAAGTATTGCATGCTGGTGCATGAACTAAAAACAATGCATCTTCCTAGCATGTTTTAGGTACTTCCGAGATGGCGTAAAAGGGTAAGCAAGACGAAATATTAAAATGATGCAAATACCTCTTTGCATTTTAAGATGATCTCAGATTTTGAGAAATATGCGGCCTGAGTAAGTACAATCTCCCGAGCTTCCTAGTACAGCAAAGAAGAAAACAGTCAGATACTCAGAAAGGATTTCAATTCACTCCCCAATAAATTGATGAAACCTGAAAAGGATGAACTAGTAGAATATATTATCAATCAACAGTGTTCTAAAGCATACTTTTCTATTATAAACCACAAAAGGACTGGAAAAAGAGAAGAATGAAAGATCAGAAAACTTGTCGCTAAACAAGATTAACTAATAAAATTTATAGTTCCATGACGTACAAGAAAAACAATCGAATCGCTGCCTGCATAAATGATTAGGAGCAGAACACTCTAATTTATGGCCAGTCTAACTCCATACAGGCCATGTTTGGCAAACCTCATTTTATGAAACCGTATAATTAAACGTCCTTATAAGTAAACCTCCTTTGTAAGAGGAAAAAATAGTCTTCTGTCAAACAATAAGTAAACCTCCTTATATGGCAGAAAAAGATAAGTAGGAAAATCCCGACTTAACTTATTTTTTACAAATTATAAGGAGAAAATAAGTAAAAAGTAACAAACAAGATCTTGAACATTTATAAGGAAAACTGCATTTACAATTTCAATAAGTGAGTTCCCCACATGCTCTAGAAACATGAGAAATTTGACATCTACTGCATAACTGAACTGATCCCCATGACAAACTATTATATGATCAATTAGTGGTCAAATAAGACATGACCATAGAATTCGGGAACATGGGACACTATAACGAACCGTGACCTAGTTCGATCATCCTGGATTCATGATGGAACACAACCTGATTCACCAACTCCACCAACTCTAGCGACCCGATTTAACCAATAAAAATTTGAGAACAAACAACAAAAAACATGAAAAATTAAGCCAATAAAATATGAATAATTCATTACAACATAATTCCAAAGTTTTTTTTACAATTAATGATATCAACTCACATATTTGTCAAATTTGACTATTGCAAAACCTCTTATTCCTACATTTACGAATCAAACATAATACGTACCACATTCCCTAGCATACCACATAAGCCTACGCCCTTGTACCCGATTCCTAATGAGTAGCATACCACACTCACGTACCTGTCATTGTTTTAAAAAGCCTCCATCTAGTCCCGCCTAGGCGTACGCCTAGGCTTAGGCAGTCTAGGTACCGCCTAGGCCTAGGCAATACCTAACTAGTGCCTAGCGTATGGTGGTACCAAAACTGCCCACTTAGATTTTGGGAGTGTTTAGGGAAGCATTGTCTGCCCACACGAACTGCATCCTTTAGACCTTGATCGTGATTTTGTGTTGCAGCCTTCACGTCCTCTAACCTCCTTTAAACTTATTTAGCCTCTAAATATGAACACCTCCACTACCTACTCCGATCTTCAGCAAAACCTCCTCGACCACCACTTAAATAAAGAAAGAAATCTGTCTAGACACCAGTCTGACATCTAAGCTTTCTATAACATTGACATTCACAATCAATTATTGTAATTAAAAATAAACAAGAAAACCTCTTGGACTTTAGGCGTTAGGTCCAACGCCTAGGCGTCCTAGTGCTTTATATAAGTTTGTTAGTTATTATTTGGGCTATTTAGTGGTTGGCCTTGTGTTCCCGACCTTTAGTCAGCTTCAACATCTAGGTGGTTATTTTGGCAGGTATTTAAGTAGGCATGGTCTATTGTAGATCTAAGATTGTTATCTTCTTCTTTTTTTTGGCAAATGTATAGCTAAGCCTAGGCGTCGTCTAGGCATACGCCTAGGTATCTAGGCGTTGGCTCAAATGCCTAGTCCGCCTAGCGCCTTCTGTAACACTAGTACCAGTCCCGTGAAACCGGAATGAATCAAGTTCCATGCAACTATGGACATGACACTAAAAAGGAACAATTTAGAACCAAACTAAAGTGTTGTTCATTCTGCATAATTAGAGGCTACAGTGAAGGTTAGCATATCTAACGAAAACTAAGCCAGAGTAAATACGAGACAATAGAAGATGCTACCCAGACTTCAAGTTCATCGGCTTTAAAACAGGTAAGTACCTTCTCAAATTTCAATCTCTAATTCGCTTTAATAGCTTGTTCAAAATTAAGTACATTGAACTACCAAATAATCATATCCTCAAATTAACCTGTAAACACATATTTTGCCCATCGTAGCATTCATAGGGTCATGTGGAGCAAATCAAATTAAGTTCAGCGTCAAACTTCTGTAACTAGGTTGATTAATATCACACTAGAGGGTCACTAATATCACATCAGAACTTTCAAGCAGGTAATAACTAGAGGGTGGCGTCTCAAAAGCACGTCACAGATATTTGTAGCATATTGCAGTAATTTATAGTTTTCCTTGTTTCCCTCGTCTCTCAAACCCCACTTCCAAACAGTAACCATCACAGGAATTACCTTAAATTTTTCATATAATTGTAGCAGTAGATAGGAAGAAATCCAAATTTAGTGCAGGATCAGTGTGTCCTAACATGATGAATTTTAATATTTCATGCCAGTATTTTATGCTATTTTTTACCATAATTCCAAACAGGTAAAATCATGGTATAAAAGCAGTACCTTATCTTTCTATTATATCTACTTTACAAATATTCTATCTAGTATCTTCTCGTATCCTTTTAACAGAAAGTATAGTACCTATGGAAAAATAAAATGTTCTAACATTTGTAACCAAAAAAAGCTTCCAAATTTATAGTTTTTCATGAAATTTGTCATCTGACTTATCTCGTAAAATATCGTTCATAGGGATGAATTAATATATCATGCAACTAGGAATGTATTCTTTCCTATCTTTCACCATGATTCCACATAGGTAAAAATCAGGTTGTATAAGGTAGAAGTACCTTGTCTTTCTATCAAATCTAATTTACAAATATTTTATTTAGTACCTTGTTTTACCCTCTACCAGAAATTACCGTGAAAACAAGGCAAAAAGACTACCAACATTTATGACAAAATAATAATAATAATAATAATAATAATAAATTTCCAAATTTGTAGATTTTCATGAAATCTGTCATCTAACTTATCTAGTAAAATATCTTTATTAAGGACTTCTCTTTAAACAGAACTATGCCTCTCACTGTAATAAGTAAAGATCAGTGATAAATTAAAACTTTCTTGTTCCATTTATTAATGAGATATATCCATTAAGCAGTTTCATTCTTCATTTATTTGGTATATCTACATTTTATTATATTTTATGCTCTTTAATTCCTTGTCTGAATGGTTATCCATCTTTTGGTATTTTAATTGGTTTGGTGCGTATCAAGTTAAAAAAAAGAGTAAATTTGGACCTGATACCTTCTGACCCCAACAATAATTTAACTTTTCCTTATCTCTTCATTTCCATCGCCTTCCCTCTCATCATCCCCTCATCTAATCTCCTCTCATCCATTAAGACCTAGACTTTTTCAAAACCCATGTATGGACTGCTCCTACTTCGATAGCATCTGTGACAAATATCTCATCACTTTGGTGAAGAGAAGAGAGCTCAAAGGCTCCCACCAAGGACAAAGAAAACTCTCGAGGAACCCTCAGCAGTGGTGAAGAAAATTGTTGCAATGAGACTTGGGAGGAATAGTTCTATACGCTCTAAGTAGTGATCTAGTCTGCGGTGAGGTATTTAAGGTTTTCTTTTCCTTCATCTTCTGGGGGGGTAGGGGGTTGGGGGTTGCCATTTTTGCTAGGGATTCTTTAGGGGTTTTGGTACTTACTACTTATTTGATGCTCATTTCCAATTTTGATTGCCTTTTTGACTCGTAATTACACCCATTTTTCATATATATTGATCTTCTGTGAAAGAACGTAGATTGTGCAAATGAAAGGCATTCCTTCATTCATTTAATCATTGAGTAGACGTAGAGCAGTGTTGAATTCTTATATGGCATGGTGAATGGTTTAATTAGTTTTATTGTTTAAAAGTTATTAGACTAATTAAAATTTCATCATCAAGGATGTCAAAGTGTAAAAGGCGGGCCAGTTTTATTAAAGTGATACACTCAACTAGGTTCATGATGGATACACTAACAATGTGTTTGTTCAAAAGAACTAGTTGATGAAAACAATATAACGATTTCATACAGGTTTATGACTTTCAAATTTTGAATTATTATATGTCCCTTTTTGTGTATAGCTGTATATAATGTTTTAAATATCGGCCGACATATCCGACATGTCGGCCGACATATCCGACATGTCGGCCGACATATCGGTTTGAGGGCTTGACCGACACGATATGGACGTTTTTAACTCGTATATCGGTTTTCAGGGCCAAATCGGAAATATCAGGGTCATATCGGGCAGATCGTCCTATTTTTTAGCTTTGAAAAATCGACCGATATAGTATTTTTTTAAGATCTGTTTTTTGTTATCGGGTTTGGATTTAGTGATAAATACCCAACCCGTTTGACCCATTCTCATGTTTAAGGGTTCCTTATGAACTCGATAGAAAGAATTTATGAACCCAAATCCATATATTATTTACTTTTTTATATGTTTAGTCTATAGAATTTATAAAATATGCTTATATTGAATTTATGAATGCTTAGATTATATTTAGGATATGATATTATACATATGCACACTACCCGATATGGCAATCCGATATTTAGTCAATGTCCCCCGATATATCCCCGATTTCCGCTATCCGATATGGATTTCAGCCATCCGACATGAACCCGGCATCCGATATTTAAAACCTTGGCTGTATATACATTTTAAATAGTCATTTCTCAGTACCCTACCTTTTACAAATTTATTGTGTCATGTACCAAAACACATCTGTATCTGCACCCAGCACCCGTCCATGTAAGATGGTTATTTTCCTGGTGTATGGGGTCTAACAACACCTTCTCATCGGTGTCTGCTCCCTCTGGCTTGCAAGTCTTCGCACGAAGAAGTAGATGGAAAGCTCGTGTTTTTACTTTAATTAATTCATAAGGACCCTGCCTTTCATTTCTAATCCTACTCGTCTCTGCATTATCTTGCTTCCAAATTCAGAAACCATGAAAATCCATTCCTTAACATAATGTCATAATGGTGACAAAATCTTATCATAAAAAATGTAACCATCATAAAAGTTATCTGAAAGCGTTTTAAACTAAGTAAGAAACTGAAGATAAGAATACATGTGCTTTAATTGTTTTTGTGTATCAATTTATTTGATACCCTGTTATCAATTAAAAATTATTAGCAAATACATCAAATTAAGAATATCAAAAGGTAGGAAGAATTTATAGCATGAATGTCATGGTATTCCCTGTTTTGCTTGGTTAGCTGCTAATATTTAATGGGAAAGGAAGGTGAAGTTCTTCTGTGTATACTCATGACTTGTAGAAAAAACCAAATTAAAGTTGTAGATGAGCTGAAGATTAAGATAGACACACAAATTTTGTAGATAGCAGTGTGTCTAAAATATACCATTTGTAGAAACAACTATTTTCAGCCAAAAAAATTAGACATTCACCATTTTGCTTATTGTAGGCTAGAAACTTGATATCATAATTGTCTCATATCAGCAAAGGAAAGGTTCTATATTTAATATAATACCAAAGACAGGAAGACTGTGTTGGAAGATCATATAATTGCAAACCAGATGATAATAAAAGTTAGAAAATCTGGCAGGAAAATCAAAATAATTCACATAAAGAAATTAGTCAGTTCAGTTCTCTATATAGAAGCACAGTTGTAATTTGAATTTTCAGTGCACATCAGTTAACTTTGCCTTCAAAGCAGTGAAATTCTTAAATTCATAGTAGATATAAGAGGCCAGTTTTGTGCAGCATTGCTAGAGGCTGACCATGCTCCTCAGAAAGTGCGGTGAATAACATGGACAGAAAGAGCTTTCCATCAGTATAGACTGCACATAATAGGTCTGGAAGCAGATCATGAAACTCTTGGTATAGACTGCACATAATAGGTTTGTAAAAAGATCATGGAACTCGTTACAGATGACATCACGTTATTTCTTTAGTCATACCTTCCTTCACCGTAATTTGTTTGTGATTAAATGTCAGAGATCCTGGCTAGAAGTTTCTCTTGCAAGTAACTTATGCCCCAGTAGGAGGCAATGCATGTCACCTAACAGAAAAATATCACACGTATTGCAGCTAGTTTATGTCAATGCATCCAATGGCTATGTTCAGTTTGAAGAAGAAAGAAGAACAAGAGACGAAAAATAAGACAGTCTAAATTTTGTGGTCGTTTTAGAAGAGGGATACGATACAGGTTTTGTAACAAAGACCTTAGCAATTCAAATTATACAAGATTTTAAGAAGCTTTCAATGTCGATCTATAGAATTACATGAATTCATGTACTGCAAAAGAAATTGTGCCTTGCTGCAAAGTGACAACAAAAAGAAAAACAATCAGCAGCAACAAAAATTCAGTATACTCCTAGACAATGGAACGACTGTAATCCTAATAATTCCTCATGAAAGTTCAGGAAAGGTTAAGCAGGCCTTTGATTTGCTATACATTAGAAAGGAGAGTACATCAAATACAGAGGGTAGAACAATAGTTATGGTCAAAAAAGAGGTTAAATCAATTATCTCTTGAGTGTGAAACAAATAAAGATGACAAAAAAACCAACCTCAATTCCCTCAACAGTTTCCTTGTATCCAGATTGAATATATTCTCTAGTTAGGGTCTCTTCTGGGCAGTTTGGAGTCTGAGGATAAAAATCAGGAGGCCCAAGTCTGGTATGAAAAGAGAAGAAGGTAACATGTGATTGAAGCAGTACAAATGCATTCTTAAAAAATGGACAGAATATCAAATAGGACGTATTCATCCCCCAAAAAATGGTATTTAAAACAAAGAAAATGAAAACAGATTTAAAACAAACATCAACAAAAATTAACTTTCAGACTCCAAAGGAGATATCGATGTCTTTTCAGTTGAGAGATCAACATTTCCACATAGAATAAATTGAGCTGTGTTTATTCAGTTAAAACAAAAACAGTTCCAATGCAACATTTACCGACTATTAAGAGGTTCTTTATCACACTTAATCTTGTATGGTATTAATGATGATGGTCTCCTGCAAAAGAAAGGTCAATGTTTGTAAGAAGCGCAGACAACAATTCCTGGATAAATATCTCAATGAGGTGCAATGAGAAATCTCTCACAAAGAACATCATGAAAAGAAGCAATTTTCCAGACACTTAAAAGATGCCCATGTATAGGAGTAGCCATGTGATGATAAAGCTTTGATCAAACATAAGTTCCTTAAGGAGCGATAGTTCATGCAATCTAATGAATCTATAACTCCTATATTTTCTTACAAATATACTCAAGCTGCCATAGTACTCCATGACCACGGCACAAGAAGCTCAAACATTGGAAGCGCAGCCAGAGTCCAAAGAGAATTAAACAATAAACATACTTCTAACGATTACTATGAGAGAAAAAAAAAGATAGCTGATGCACATACTGTGGGAAACACCAAATGGTATATGTTCAAGATGACCAAAATTAAATGCCCCATCCATCATAATATCATTCAGTCTTGGATCTAAACTAATTACGAGACTAAGGATACATGGGCACCCAAAGCCAAAAGTTAATGGATATAGCTTTGGATTTCCAATTATCCAAATCCAATATTTTCTTGAAAACAACTTTCATTAGGAATCGAAAAGAAATTGGCAATATATTCTAGCTCACTTGTTTTGGTTTGTATTTTTCATATGCATTGCATGGACATGGACATGCAAACATGTACAAAACACAACAAACCAACAAATAGAAAATTCTAAAAGTACATAAGAAACAGAAATGCCATATTTAATCCTTATATTCGAGACATGCCTCTAATACGGTAAGGCTTCATGTCTGAAGTGTCCTTGCTACTTATTAGTCGCTGGACACAAGAACGTAGTATTATACGCAGGATTATGGGAAGGGATAGACATATATAGCTGGATTCAAATGAATTGAATCATATACATATAAGTAAAGTTATTCTCAAGTTGGATCCTCAATCATTGAAAGTCAAATCAAGAGATTGATCCTATTTCTAGGATAAATATCCTGGCTGTTAAGCTATAAACTTGACTTCAAGAATCCAAAGCCTAAATTAATTTTGAATTTGCTTTAAGTAAGAGGCTAAGGGTAACCGGGCATAGTTGACACTTGACACTTCTAGATAAGCCTCCAAGCTCTAAACCTTTTGTAGTCTAACAGTTACAAATAGACTTTATGAATGCTGTTAATAGAGAGTGCATTTCTTATCCATCCTATGCCTCCACCAAATATCTAGATTTGTGCCTCGAACAAAAGATGTTGACAAAACTTTTTTGAAGTAAATTATGTCATTAGAGTTATGCGGAGCTTATTTTGATAGTTATAAACAAGATTCTGAATTTTTTTTGTGATGTCCAGATTAAGAAATAGTAGAAAGAGAAGCGAAGAAAACTAAGGTTGTCTCCACAACATAACTTTCAGCATTCTTGTATTATGCGATATCACATGATAAAGTGAGACCTAAGTCTTAAAGTCCTATAGTTAAGCCTAATTATTGATGACTATTTGACAAGACCTACAGCAGTAACTTCCACTAAAGCAGATTTACATGAAAGCTTAACCAAGTTAACTCCCCAACTTGATCGATGTATTAGTGAAAATGAATCAAATACCAAATAAAGATCAACACAAGGAAAGCAAAGATGTTTATAATTGGTCTCTGCGTAGTGCAGCACTTCAGCAAGCCATTGAAGATGGATCATTTCTTTTGGTTTTTACATGAGGGCATGCTAATCTTTTTACCTCCTTCCTTCCACTTCAGGGCATTTATCACAGGCTGCCTGCAAACAGCATTTCCTCATGCCAGTGAAGATCTTCTTGAGTTAGTTATTTGGCTCTGTGAAAATGCACCAATCTGTTTTATCTTTGTTAGTTCCACTTTAGAATATTATCATGTGTTAGAGGGAGGCACCAATCTATGTACAAAATCCATTGATATTCACTGAGCTTGAGTTCTGTTACTCCAGTGAACTCTTGGCCGATCTCCCCCAACATTTTCACATATTCATGATACCCAAGTTTGGGAAAACTCATTTTAAGCTTTCATCTTTTAAAGACATGATCATCATGTTTTGATGCTGTAACCTATATCTACTGTAGACCCGGGGTCTCCTTTTAGTTTTCCTTTTTGGAATTAGTAATGGTATGGATGAGCTTATACCAAGATTATATATAAGGAAAAAATAGTAGAAAGTAGAAGCAAAGAAAAAAGCAGGAGGATGAGAAATAAATAAGACATCAGAATCTCAGATTGAACAAAGTACACCAGTCTTACACGTCGATGCTTCATTAAGCATCTGCCTTTATGAAGGCTAAGACATGACAAAAAATAACCACAGTTTTTTAGTTGCATAACAACCATACCTATTATGCTAAAATGATTAGCACCCAGAATAATAACCAAAGTGAACTTTTTGCAATGCATAATTGATAAAACGATGGAGCATGGAGTCAAAAATAATGACCAGCACTATCTCAAGAGACCCTTAGTCTATAAGAAATAGCCATATTTAGTGATACCCCTTCCTTTGTTAGATCAAATACTAATTTGAAGTTAACAACTTTCATAAGTCAACTTTATTGTGTTAGGTGTGAGGCCAATAGTGGCACAATTCTCTATTTTGATAAGTTAACAAAAGGAGTAATCTTTCATATAAACGTTAGGTGAAGCAAAATCATATTTCCAGCTTATAAAATGTTAGATGAAACTGGGAGCATCACTGGCTCAGTTTTGATGTATAAAATGATCTAGCTTTATCAGAAACCAAAATGGGTTTTCTTAGTCTTAGCTTCCGAAATTGAAGCCTTTTCAGGAATGCTCTGCAGGTTTCTATTTACCAAGGAGTCTATAATTCTAACCAGATAGGTCCAACTGACTTCTCCAGTTCCAATTTTGCTAGCTTTTCTTTTCTCATTGTCTTGATTATTACAGTATATTCATTTAAGAAAGGGCTTAAATTTGAAACAATAGGGTAGTGAGTAGTTGAAATTTTCAACTTAACAACATTTTGCTGATTATCATTCTATCCCTGTCTTCCTCTTCACAGCAGCATGGATCTCTCATATGCTATCCCCTGGCTTAGAACTTTCTCCTACTGCAACTTCTTATGTTTTCACGGCTTTTAGATTTCCGTTCCAACTGTTTTTTATTTTACTTTTTAAATAAATAGTATTTTAAAATCTTAGAGTTTCTGCAGGAATTGTATCTACGAAATAGAGACATTTTCATAATGGTGCCAACTCTTCCTTTTACAATTAATGGCCCTGCCTTTGAAGAATAAACTCTTTCACAAGACATTCAGGCTAATTATGACCCTATAAAGCCCATTTGCTGCCACTTACCTTGATATAGAAGTTTACACTCACCTATACCAGCAGCAACAAAAATAGACAAAAAATGGCACCAACATACTGGTGCACAATATCTTTTCAAAAGCATCAAGCACGTTTATATATTTTCTTCCGAGTATTATAATACTTCTACAAACAAGAGAACTAGATATGTCATTCCAATGAAAAGCTAATATATTATTCAGGACGAGCAGTTACCTCGCATTCAAATTGAAATTCGATGTCGAAAAGCCCGAGTCTACCCTTGCATTTTCCCTAGAAGATGACCCACCAACAGCATTATTGCTGACTCCACCACTGAAACTGGTAGCAGGATACCTTTGCATTTCTGCCTACAATATCCGGCATAATGCCCGCAATACCAGTGCAGCTATAGACAGGACATACTCCACACCATTGATACTTACTGCCAGTGCAATCTTCTACCATTAGTCATTGAATTAGCTCCCAATATAAGTTCAACTTCTTAGAGCCCTTAGCTTAAAGTTTGACTGTTTATTCAAAAACCTCAACTTATTGAATCCTCTAAACTCAATTCCAACCCCATCCAGCTCTTAATTATATCCAACTCCCAAATAACTTATTTGTATAAATTTACAAGCTCGTCCACCAGTCTCTGCATAGTTTGCAAATTTCAAATTTGAATCAAGAACCAACTTTACCTCAACTAAAAAAATCAAGCATTAAAAACATGCAAGAAAATGTTGAAACGCCATGATCTGGTACGAAAAACAGTTGGAATCAATATTAAGAACGACTTTTTGACCCAATCCATTAACTCCAAATCAAGCACCCAAGTAGCAAAGTCGAGAATTGAAGCTAGGGTTTAAGGCCTCAAACAAAAATCCAAAAAATTCAAAAAAAATTAAAATCTAGGGCATCGAGATTCCGAAAGGACGCGCTTCATTTCAAGAAAGAGACACCATGGCTAGGGTTCCCAAATTCTCAAACTATGAAACCCTAGAGAGAGAAAGTTCGCACCTTAAGCAGATTTTGAGAGAGAGCAGATGAGAGAGAAATCGAGGGGCGAGAGAGGAGAGAGAAAGCAGAGAGCGTTTGACTCTTTTTGCTTTGCTGATGATGACGACGACGATATAATTATACAAAAATTTATTAATTGTGAGCGAGGCTTTCGGTCTTTGTTGTTTCCCGATTTGGGATAAAACCTCTATGTGATTTTCCCACATTGCCCTTGTACTTTGAATTAATAACGGTTTTTTGCTACCGTTGGACGGATGGTAGTCCGTGTTGGATTCCGGGTAGTTTGGGAACTAGAACAGTATCTATTGGCAGTTAAAAGTAGACGATAACAAATATTTTTCTGTTGATTTGAAAGTATGTGTTTTGTAATAAAAATTGTTTATAACAAGCAAAATTGGCCTTAGCAATGTAACAAAATTCATGTGAAAAAAGCTAAAAGTATAATAGTTTGAGTATTTTTATAAAAATACATTATACACCTAACCGTAGTAACAAAAAAATACAAGTTAAAATAAAGGCTAAACTACCAAATTAATATCTAAAAAAGACTCATTTTATTGCTTTGGTATTTAAAATATCTCTAATGACATTTTGATATTTTTTTAGTGCCTTTAAGTTAGCATATAGGTCCAAAATTTGGTCGGCGTTAAGTTTTCTAACGAAACTCAACGCGTGACCATCACGTGACCCTTAATGGTCCTTAGAAAAGGTTGAGCGGCGTGGATTAGTGATGTGGAATGGATTAGGTAATCTGGGAGGGAGTAAAAGTGAGATGAAACCAACTGAAGTCTAGGGCAGATAAAATTAGGGGAAAACACATATTGGGGTTTTTATTCGAGTGAGGGAGGATATGTAACTTTTGCTTTGGGGGATCTTAGGCCTCTTCAAGCTTAAGCATGTTGTCAAGGAGCAGTGTCAATGGTGTTGGCCTTATTGTTTTGATGATGTTTAACAAATAATTTACTACTAATGTTGTTTGTCTAGTGTTTGTGTATTTCTATTTATTGTAGACAAACAATAAGTTGGAGGATGGATGGAATTACGCATTCACGATCATATCCAATGGAGGTTGACGGAATTGTGGAGTGAAGCCTATGCAATTCAAATTAAAGATCCAAGTTCTAGCTTCATCCGCGAGTTTACCAAGTCAAGCTTATTGAAGATCAAGATCAAGCTTGGGTAACATTAGTTTAGATTTATATTATGTGTGTTGGTGCTTTAAGCTCAATCATATATACACACACGTATTTGGTTTCTATGTATATATATATAGTTATATATATATACATGCATGTTTTGGTTTCCAAGTTTATATAAATATGAAATTACATATTTCATATTTATTATTGTGTTTTGGTTTAATTTCATAGATATGAAATAAATATATCCTCATATGTTTCATACTCTATTCTGTTTGAATTTATATTGCATAGAATATGCAATTTTGTGAAAATATTATTTTATTGATTTTTTGACTTAACAATAATCATTTACATCTTTTACTAAGTCTATATAATCATTTTGTAATGTTTCAAAACATGGTTAAGCTAAAATGTCAAAACTCATATGTTTACATTTTCATGTTTTGAACTATTTTGTAAAATAATGATATTTCTCATTTGGGAGGTCCTTTCTAAAAACCTGTTTTTGTAGCATGTGTATTATCATGTCTACAATCAGTTTTCAAAGTTTTACATTTTTCTGAATTTATTTGATATTTTTAAACAGGGATTTAAAACTAGAAAACTGTTTCAAAAACCTGTATATTTTTTGTATCAGTTTGCGATCGACCGCCACGGTCGACCGCCTGCAGTCCAGAAACCTAGCTTGCCTTTTTATGGCTCCCCCCCGTGCAGTCCAGAAACCTAGCTTGCCTTTTTATGGCTCGCGGTCGACCGTGACGGTTGACCGTAGCACATCCAGAGACTTTCGCGGTCGACCGTCATGGTCGATCGTCTGCTTTCAAAAGCCATATTACTGTTTTTTGTTCCTCGCGGTCGACCGTCAGCTTTTCACGGTCGATCGTCGAACTGACCGTTAGGTTCCAACAGCTAGTTTCTGAGCTGTTTTCTCTTGGGCTTTTTGGTCATTTTGATTGGGTTGTTACTGAAATTTTGAGTTGGTATAAATACCCCATTGATCTCATCTTTCATTATCCCCCTAAGAAAATGTTTTAACAAGTTTAATAAGGGTTTAAGTTGGTTTAGTTTGTTTTAAGTTTGGGGTTTGCTTTTACAAAGAGGAGCTTACATCAATTGTTGAGGAGTTCATCTTTAATATCTCATCATCCTCTCTTTGTGTTTATAGAGAACTTTTCTTAACTCAATTTCCTAGCATTTTTACTATTGTATTTCATATCAATTTTATTGCTAGTTCTTTTTTAGTTAGATTTTATTTATTTTCATTGTTACACACACCCACATGAGCTTATCGTATTTTCATACATAGTATATTTGGGTTGGTGAGAGTTATAACAATTGAGTGTGAGCTTTCATTGTGTTCTCATCCATATTAGAGAACAATCATTTGTTGTATTCGTGCTTAATTGTGAGATTCACTTTGTAATACACTTGTACACCGAGAGAAGTGTGTGGTGTAAGTCGGAGATCGTCCTAAGAGGAGTGGCGTCGGTTGACGAACCTAGGGAGAGGTTATATCCGAGCACTTGAGGAAGACACGTCTAGGTCCAACACTTGAGAGGGTGTAGAGTGGGATTATAAGATTGTTGATTGTAAAGTTTTCGGTTAGCTAGAAAACCGAGTGTGAGGTGTAAATATTATTCGGGTAAGCGTAAAAAACCCGGTTGTGTTAGTGGATTTCTCCCCGGGAGTGGGGAGCGGAGACGTAAGACGGAAGGTCCGAACTCCGTGATCATTTGATTGTGTTTGTGTGTGCTTTGGTGTTCATTTATATTTGTGCTCATTGCTCATATCGTCATTGTCTCATTAGTTAGTTTGTCCACTTCTTTGTTTACATTATTTACACTTGTATTGTTTATATATCATTGCTCATATATTTATAATATCTCATGGCTAGGATATATTTATTAGTTCATATTACCTATCCTAGCTCATGTATCTTGTTATATTTTATACTTTTTAGGATAACTTGTTAATTAGTTTTAATTGGCATAAAATTGAATTGGATTAGCATAAGACCCTAATCACCCCCCCCCCCCTTTAGGGTCTAACAAATGGGTCAAACGCCACGACATCTCCCGTTTCACAGCCTGACGCCTGAGCTCAGTCAAAGAACGGTGTCGAGGAATCATCGGCAAATACATAAAACGACTGCCAGTCTGGTAAAGCCACTGCTCAACTTCAATAAATGCTGCATCGGGATCTCTGGTAGAGTCGCCAAACAAGAAGTCAGTCTTCCTGAGAAACTGTAGAGTGTTCTATAGATGTCATATGGTGACTTTGACTTCAATTTGAGTTTTGATTTTTTTTTTTTTTTTGTAATTATTTGATTTTTTGAATTTTTGTTTGAACTAAACATTCAGAATGTTGGTTGTGAATTGTGGGAATGATATGATCTGCTAATGTACAAAGTTGCTGCTATTTTAGTGCCTCTACGAAGAGATGGAATTATGAAGTTGAATTGCCACATGAATGAACTAGATGGATTGTCTAAAGAGAGGGGCAGTGACCTGCATTTGTACCTTCTTCAAAAGCAATAGTTAAAGTATGAGATCAATAGTTGTGAAGAGGAAAACAAAATATTAAAAAGGTGGTTATGTGCCAAAATTGTTGAATATCATTTCTCCATGATAATGTTTTGATGATAACAATTTATATTGTGTGTGCACTAACTTTCATATGCAGATTTCAATATCAGAATATACACAAGTGCAAGTGGATATCAAGGCATTTTGAAGTGAAGAAAATGAAGAATAAAAGATAATGTATTTGAATTTTTCTTTGCTTAGAATATTTGTACAAGCCTTGATCACACACACACGCACACACACATAATTTTAGAACACTAACACAGGCTTAGTGTGTTGGTTAACTATAGAAATCCCCTATGTTAACCATTAGAATAATAGTTAAAACTTAATTATAAAAACTCATTATTTCTGAATTTTTGATCTTAATAGTCGACTAATTAGGATAGTAGTCGATTACTCATGTATATAACTCAAATACAAGTTTCTGTCTGTTTACAGTATAGTCGACTAATTAACATTATAGTCGACTACTGAAGAAAATATCAGTTTTCAAGTTTCTGTCAAATTACAGTGTAGTCGACTAATGAGAATTATAGTCGACTACTGAGAACATTTTCCGAAAACACAGAGTCTGTCTGAACTCAGTGTAGTCGACTAATGACTACAGTAGTCGACTACAAGAGACAGTTTTTCAGTTTTCAGAATTTGAATATCTGACAGTTTTTGGCCGTTTTTAAACGTTTTCAAACTTTAAAAACTTGTCTTTTCAAGGGGTATATATAGGTTATTTGTTCAGAAAAATTGGAAAAATATACATACCCATAAGCTTTGATTCTTGAGCAATTTCCTAAGTGAAAAACATTCTGATTTTCTGAAAAAGAAGAGTTTCTGAAATTGCCTATATACTTTCATCAAAAACAAATCAATTAGGCAATTTTACAAAGATTAAAAGAATCCTAAGCCACTGCTGCACATTATTACACATTCAAGGCTTATAGGATCATTGTGTTCTTCTTCAACAAGTTTTCTCTCGGTTGTGAGAGGGTTAGTCTCTTGGGTTAGAGATTGGTGTTCAAATTGACAAGGAGTTTGTCAATTGGTGTTGCAATTTGCAGGAACTTGCAAATTGGTCAGGTTTGCATTTGATTTTGTAAGTTTATTCAAAATCATAGTGAAAACTCTCAAGCGGGATTTGCTTGGGGACTGGATGTACACCAGTTTGGTGGAACCAGTATAAAATCCTTGTGTTTGTGTTTGCAAATTTCTGAGATTGCCATTTTTTCTTTGCAATTTATTATCTACTTTGCAATAATTTTAAAAGAACACTATTCACCCCCCCTCTAGTGTTCAAGTGTATCTATTTCAGATCCTACATTTGGTATCAGAGCAAGGTGAAAGATGGCATTGTCAAATACATCACAATTCAAGGAAGGTCACTCTACAAATCGTCCTCCAATGTTCGATGGCA